ATATGCTAATGAGTTATGCTAATGAGTCCCCCCTAGCTCTTTTTCTACGAAATGACCCCTGGATGCTGGCACAGGAGGAGGCCTCTGGACACCCACAGAAAGAACTACATTATTGGCAAATAATTCTAAATCCATAACAAATATCTAACAGATTTTACTGGTCTATTCTAGAACATTACTATCACTGGTTGAACTGTGTATTTTCTGCTTCATTCCACAAGGAGCAGAATTTGGTAGCAACTTTAACATACAGAATGCCTATGAGTAGCCTGAATGGTAACCTGAATGGAAAATGAATGGCCTTAATTCCTATGAGATGTCCAGACAGGAATTTTCTTTCTTGGAGGAGGAGGAGGAGGAGGAGGAGGAGATGCAGCAGCAGCTTGTTGTTCCCTTATCATCTGCCTCAGTGCTGAAATTTGCAAACTGGACACATGGGACCTTCCTATGCTTCTATTTTAATGTTTTACTCAAAATTAGGACTGAGGCAAGGAGGAGGAGGAGGAGATTGGATTTATACCCCACCCTTCACTACCCGAAGGAGTCTCAGAGTGGCTTACAAGCTCCTTTCCCTTCCCCTCCACACAACAGATACCCTGTGAAATAGGTGGGGCTGAGAGAGCTCTTTCGAGAACTGTCCTGGAGATAACAGCTCTGAAACAACTTGTAACTGGCCCAAGGTCACACCTGCAGCTGCAGGAATATGCAGAAATATGCAGAAATCATAGCACTTAGGGCTTTGCAGTCAAAGTCTTTATTAATACGGTCATAGACCAGCATAGACCAGATTTGTAAGTGAAAAGAAAGACATGAAGCCTATGGAAGATAAAGCCATTGCACATACCTGAGTATTAATCCAATTCCCTCCCCCAAACGTATTTAATTATAAAAATATAAAAATCATGAAACATTACATACTGACATCTTCCACCTGAAAGAACATAAAATAAGTTCAAATTAGGGCTGTTGCTAGTTTTTAAAAAATCAGTTGATTAATTATATGCATTTTGATTGACTAATAAAAATTCTGCATATTAACAATAGCAATAGGTCTGAAGAACAAGAACATTATTTCTTTTTATGCAGTGTCTTCTTTCTGTTCTACATAAGATTAGACCACCCATGGCCACCCACAGTAGGCTAATGGGTGAATGTTAGTGGATCTCATAGAGAGCTATTCGAAAGGCAATCATTTTAATAATAAGGGACCCAATATTTAGCCACATGATCCTTTTGGTGGTACAGAGGTGCTGCCCTTTTGCCAACATTAGAACATAATTCGTGCCCTGACCTGGATAGCCCAGGCAAGCCCGATCTTGTCAGATCTTGGAAGCTAAGCAGGGTCGACTCTGGCAAGTACTTGGATGGGAGACCTCCTTGGAATACCAGCAGTCAGGAGGCAGGGACAGGCTTTATTCAGCCACCTCCCTGAATATTCTCCAGGCCCCCGGTAGGGGTCAGTCACCAGAGGTCACCATGATTTCCAGGTGCACACACCCAAATGTGCGTGCACATATAAAAATACAAAAAATAAATACCCCCCAAAATTCTTTGTCTCCCTGATGGCAAAGGTTAGCTAAGCCCATCCTTCCTTTGCTGCTAAATAAGTTGTATTGGGGTGCAAACCTAGAGATGGGATGGCCCAGCATCATGCCACCTGGCAACGTTTTGTTGCAGAGAGGGAAATGAACAGTGCTGAGTTAACTAATACAACAACCTTATCCGCTGAGGGCCAAACTAAACATTATGGTTTTGAAAGAGTTGGGTCTGGGTTCCCTGGACCCAACTTGTGTTTCCTGCATCCACATAGCAGCTGCAGGGAACAGCTTCTTTTAAAGTGGGGAGGGGAGAGTTCAAGTTGGGTCCTTGAAAACAGTAAGTTTGACCCAGAGAGGGCTGCTCCCAGACTTCTGCTACCAGGAATATTACCCAGTGGCACAAGAGATGTGGATTTGTGTAAGCTGCTGCTGAGGGTGGATTTTTTTTGGGGGGGGGATTCGGGATATTCTGATCCACCATTATTTTTCTGCAAGGACTACTTCCTAGCTCACAATAATACACCTGGGATGTCCAAATAAGAATATTTTTACAGTTATAGGAATGATGAACTATCACAAGTGGAAAATCATTGTTTTAAGCAGCTGGGTTTCAGAAAGAAGTTGCTCATCACTGCTTAAGAATTATCCAGGAGGGTCTCAGTGTTGTATACAGAAGATGAAAGCATCCCAGAAGCAGCTGCCATTAATAAAGCTATAATCATAACTATACTTTATCTTAACAATCTTCTGCTGGTATGAATCTAGCAATTGCATTCACTAAAAAGGGAACCAGATTCCTGTTGGGGCAAAACAAGATTGAACCTGGCGAGTTCTTGGAATCAGGACTGCTTGGAAACCTTGTTCTAATTGCAGGATATGTAGTATTCAAGTTTGTTTTTTAAATAGGGTTTCACATGTAACAAATACACCACCTACTTTTGTGACCAGTGTACTCACTTCTAACTTTCTTTCAGATGCCTGGCTGTTCCTAAAAGGGGGAAAAAAAATATATATATATACATATACAGTGCAAATAGGCCATTCGTAGGAATCTGCCACACTTCTAAGTGAAGACAAATTGTCTTTCTGTTTTATGGTAGAGTTTGGACTTATATATATAAAACATATATATAAAATGAAATCACATAGTCATTGTCACTTAACTTGAAAGTTGCATCTGACATTTAAATCTAATAAGGCTGACAAATCAATAATGCAAAAAGTTTCAACAGAGTGGAAAATGCATGGCTGAAAAGGGACAATCTTGTCTACTTCCTCTTTCAATTTCAAATGAAGCATTTATATTGCCATAGATTTAGAACAAATTAATTGAGGCCACTTAATGAAGCATTCTCCAAAATGAAAAACTTTTAGAGAGTTTTTCAAGAAATTTTCAGCACCTAGCAAAAGAAAAGTTGCAGGTATTGTAACTTCCAACAACCTCATTTAAATTCAGAAGTTTACACACATTTGAAGTACTATGCCCATCAGAAATAAATCCAGACTGTTCTGGAGTTACATAAACTTTGATAAGATGTTCTTTAGTCTAGAGACCAAAATGATTGCTAATAATTGAATATTTTCCCCCCTGTACCTTTTTCTTTATAAAATTTCTCTCTACCATCCTCACTATGAATCAGGAAAGGAAGGATTACAGAAACTGAAATTATACATGCGATTCAACCCACATTGAGAAAGTTTGCAACCAGTTTTTGAAAAGAAAATACATTGCAATAAAAAAAACACAGAGTGGCTACTTTGGCCATAGAGACAGGGCAATCCTGTGTACTTCCCCCCAGATTATCATATGTAATGTGGCTAAATGTACTGCCCAGTGCCTCTACCCTAAATTGCCCACTCATGCTGGCAAATTTGTACCACTGTAATACCCAGGTTGCCCACATTATTGATCTTAAATCTTTCCCACGGTCATGCTCAATTATTTAAATAAATGTGAATCTCTGTTTACTGTATGGGTGGTGGCATCCTTCTAGAGGCAGGATTATGTCTTTCATGCTTTTCATTTGATGGCACAGGAGGCTTTTGTATCTTTGCCAGCTCTTCTCCTAGAGATCTTAAACAGAAGGGGGGGGGAAGTGTGAGGATTAATTGATTTTCATATGCCATGTCAAGTGGGTAATTTTGATCATTTGTGCCAGATAAAATTAAAGTTTTACCTGAGCTGTGGTGTCAAAGACTGCAAGAAAGTAAGAAACATTTAAAAGAAATGGTAAAGACATTTTTAACAAGAATTAAAATGTGGTAGGATAATATGGAAATGATTTCTTACCATTTCAGAAAGCATTGCTCTTTTGGCTGAAATGAAATTAAAAGAAAAAAGAACATAAGTAAACGTCGTTTGGTTATGGTGGTTTCTCTGATTAGGTTTCATATGGCTGCACTATGATGTAGTTAGAGTACTGCACTGGGACTGGGGATATCAGGATTCAGATCTCCCACTCAGCTGTGAAGTCCACTGGGTGAACTTGGGGCTGGGCTGTCACTCTCTCAGTCTAACCTAACTCATAGAGCTGCCATGGGACTATAGCGAAGGAGAGGAGAATCATGTACTCTGCCCTGGAATCCTTGGACAAAAGGCAAGATAAAATTGTAATGGATAGATATTGGTATAACTTTGATGGAAAATCATAACTTTGGCTCAAGGGGAGCGCATGTAATTGACAGTTCAACTGAGTAGTAAACTTCTCTAACTTGACAGGTCTGAGCATAAGAATACACAGCTCTGTGGTCTGAACACATCTGCGAATGGTGAAATGGTATTATATGCTCCAGGGAGGCAATGACAGATTCAAGATTGCACTGCTGAATATAGACATGGAACTCAAAACTGGAGGTTGAAGATAGAGTTTTAAATGTAATTTCTGTTTTCACAACTCTTATTTTTAAAAAATTGATCACATCATCCCTTTATGAAATATATAAAGTATTTATTTATTTATGCCCCATTTTTCTTCCCTGTTAGTGATATATCATGATGAAGATCCATTCAAAAAGTTGCTATAATAAATGAATTTCACATTGTATCCTCCAGTATGCTTTTGTTTTCATGAAGCTTTTTGATCTTTGTAGATATTTTAACTCTTCCAGAGGGTACCGTACTCAACAGAAATACCCACGATGTTCCAGGGTTACTGGACTTGTACCCCCTGTATTGATAGACTTATTCCTCAGTTACACAAATACGGCTTGCTTATCAGCCCATGGCAGTAGCCCATAGCAATCTTCTGGAGTTTTACTTCTTAGGTTACAATTACTAGTTTTCTAACAGCTAGTAATCCAAGTCTATGCCCCAACCACTGATGCAGAAGAGACTGAAGTGGACCGGTTCTATGAAAACCTACAACACCTCATAGAACTAACACCAAAAAATGATGTCCTCATCATCATAGGGGACTGGAATGCTAAAGTAGGAAATCAAACGGTAACTGGAATAACAGACAAGTTTGGCCTTGGAAAGCAACATGAAGCAGGGCAAAGGTTAACAAAACTAGTCAAGAGAACACACTGGTCATAGCGAACACCCTTTTCCAACAACCTAAGAGGCGACTCTACACATGGACATCACCAGATGGGCAACACCAAAATCAGATTGACTATATAATTTGCAGTCAAAGATGGAGAAGCTCTATCCAGTCAGTAAAAAGAAGACCTGGAGCTGACTGTGGCTCAGATCATGAGCTACTCATTGCAAAATTCAGACTTAAACTGAAGAAAATTGAGAAAACCACTAGGCCATTCAGGTTTAACCTAGATCGCATCCCTGATGAATATACAGTAGAGGTGAAGAATAGATTCAAAGGTCTAGATTTGATAGAGTAGCTGAAAAACTATGGACGGAGGTTCATGACATTGTACAGGAGGCAGCAATCACCACCATCCGAAAGAAAAAGAAAGGCAAGAAAGCAAAGTGGCTGTCTGATGAGGCTTTACAAATAGCAGAGGAAAGAAGGAAAACGAAAGGCAAAGGTGAAAAGGTGGAACAGAGTTTGAGTCCAATGGCACCTTTAAGACGAACAAAGTTTAATTCTGAGTATAAGCCTTCATGTGCATGCTTACACCCAGAATTAAACTTTGTTGGTCTTAAAGGTGCCACTGGACTCAAACTTTTTTCTCTTGCTTGAGACCAACACGGCTACCCACATGAATCTACCTGGAAAATGTTGTTAGTGCTGTTAGACCTGAATTTGGTTCTAATTCTACACACCTGGAACTAACTTCTCAGTAGATCCAGCCAGGGTCCCCTCAGCTAGCAAGCCTGCCAACGGTCCCTTCAAGCCCATTCAAAATACCAACTGCCCTCTCGGAATGGAACTCATGCAAATAAAGCCTGAAATGCATCCACATCTGTCCTCATGGCTGTACCTTTAAGTGGAAACAGAGAAGGCAATTTGTGTTTCGCCAGAAAATATCCATCCGTTTGCTCTTTGCTCTGGGTTTAGGTCAGTGGTTTTCAAATTCTTTCTTCAGGGAAACTTTTTCACATGGACTCGCCTAAAGAGATTTATGAGGTGCATTCTGGGAGCCTAGGTTTTTTTTCACCAAAACAGTAAACATGACTTGGGACTGGAATATCTGAAGGACTGTCTTCTCCCATATGTTATTGCCTGGGAACTAAAACAGGGTGAGGCCTTCCTGACTGCCCCACCAATCAAAGTGGCTCATTTGGTAGGCACACATGAGAGAGGGCCTTTTCAAAGGCAGCCACACAACTATAGAACAATCTCCTCAGGGAGGTGCACCTGGCCCCCTCAGTGTCAATCTTCAGGATGCAGTTGAAGACACAGTTTTTATTGGTGATAGCGTTGAAGCTCAACATAAAAAAAAAACAACTAAGATCATGGCATCTGGCCCCATCACTCCTTGGCAAATAGAAGGGGAAGTCGTGGAAGTAGTGACAGACTTCATGTTCCTGGGATCCCAGATCACCGCAGACTGTGACAGCAGCCATGAAATTAAAAGATGCCTGCTCCTTGGGAGGAAAGCGATGGCGAACCTAAACAGCATGATAAAAAGTAGAGACATCACCCTGCCAACAAAAGTCCGCATGGTCAAAGCAATGGTATTCCCAGTAGTCTTGTATGGCTGCGAGAGTTGGACTATAAGGAAGGCCGAGCGCCGAAGAATAGATTCTTTTGAACTATGGTGCTGGAGAAGACTCTTGAGAGTCCCTTGGACTGCAAGAACATCAAATCAGTCAATCCTAAAAATAATCAACCCTGACTGTTCCCTGGAAGGCCAGATAATGACACTGCAGCTCAAATACTTTGGCCACCAAATGAGAAGGGAGCACTCACTGGAGAAGACCCTGATGCTGGGAAAGATTGAAGGTCAAAGAAGACGGGAAAGGATGAGATGGTTAGACAGTGTCACCAATGCAATGAACATGAAATTGAGCCAACTTCAGAGGACGGTGGAAGACAGGAAGGCCTGGCGTGATCTGGTCCATGGGGTCGCAAAGAGTCGGACTCAACTGTGCGACTGAACAACAGCAGCAGCTAGAAATATATATTTGCCCATGGGTATCTTTTATCAGTGTGTTGTGCTTAGTAAAATGTTAGCTGTTAACTTAAGACCATAAATAATTGCTAACCTCCTCTTAGTAGGTCTCTGTCCAATGGTGGCCCAGATCGATTCAGTGGGGGCTTTTTGCTTCGATCTATAGGAGCTGGAGTGGAACAGAAACATTGCTTCAAATGTTTTGCTAATATGTAATCCCCAACAAAGAATTTCATATGACATCTACATTATAGAAAGTAGAATTCCTCTTTAGAAGTACAGTAATCAACTAATTAAGTATCTGATCTGTTAAGAGGGTTAAGGCAAAGCTGAAAGAAAATACCCCCCCCCCAAAAAAAGATTGCCTTATGTACCAAGCAATGGAAATGTACCAGAGGATGCAATTTAAAAGTACGAGAGAATAAAAGCTACTTACGTTTAAAAGTCTGGATGTTTTTTTCTCTGCTGCTGTCATTGCTTGAAGGTGAAGTGAACAGTGGCTGCTAAAGTAACAGATTCAGTCAATGGTCTAAGTCTTTGCATCGTGATTATGTGATAATAGCTGCCAACCCAGAGATCTGAGAGGTATGAGGTGTCACAGAGCTGCTATTTCACTGTTTTGTAGACATTGTTTTTTTTTAGGGGGAATAGTCTATAGGTGTATATAAAAAAATAAATGCATAGTTTTGAACATGTTGCCAACCCATATCTGACTGACTCGCAGCCTCCCACCTGGAGAGACAGCCTGTAGGCAACTACAAGACAACAACACAAACCATCAAGGATAGTTTCAAAAGTTGGTCTAGTGAATTATACCTGGAAGGTAACAGAAAGTATGTAAAGACTAAATAACTGATAAAATGGTATTTGATAGTTTTCCATTCCTTATCTCATGTACAGATGTAGTACCTTGATATTTAAAAAAACTACATACCCCAGTACCTCTGCCTCCCTGAGCTGCTGGTGTTGGAGAGGGAACAGACCTCTGAGGTGGAACAGGAGGCTGAAGAGATGTTTTAACTGCTGCAGCTCTATCTAAAAAAAAGCAAGAACAGTTAAAGATTTAGATTCCAATCAGATGGGTCTTTAGATTCCCGCCAGGCACAAGTGCCTGGCGGATTTAAAGGTAATGACCAGAAAGCAACATCTGGGAAACATGATCATCCCGTTTTGCCATGCTAGGGAGCTGTACTTAATAGATACTGGTGAAAGTCAAGTGTTTTTGCTTCCCGATGGGCCACGGACAGACTTTTCCCCATCTGAAGGTTCCATCGCGCAATCAGCCCATTGGGATGGTCTGACGTCAGACCATCCTGAGCTGCCATCATTTAAAAAAATTCTAAGTGATATGCACATAAACACGTAAACACGTGACAGCTGCAGAGCTCCACTCAAATGTTCCGGACAATTTCATGTTTCTGAACGGCCTGTGAATTTTATGAACTGTGTTAATTAAAAAAGTACCAAGAGGGAGGTACCACTGGCGGTGCTTTAACCATTAAATTCCGTGCATGCGTGGAAAAACAAGTACATGTTGAGGCACAGATGTGCATGCGCAAACAGAATTTTTTAAAAAACGATTGCGTGGCTCTTTCAGGTGGATGCCATCTAGACAATCCACTGCAGAGTATGCGCATGGTAAGGGGAGCTGTCTGGTCATGCAACTCCGGATAAAAAAGATCTGGATCAAATTACAGCCGGGCCAATGGCGGATTTCGCTGCCCATCTGAACGCACCCATAGAGAAAAAAATATATACCTTCCATGTATTTGATTTTAATTTCAGAGGACAACTAATATTTACATGATGTGGAACACTTTCCCCCCTAGCTACTCAGTTTTGTTTACTTACAATAGGGCACATCTCAACAATCTCTCTCAAACTTCAATTAAAATGAAGTTTTTAAAACCTTATTAGAAAATTATTGATTAAGATTTCTGACTAGCAAAACAGCTCTCTATTCTGCTTCCCCAAAGCTACACTGAGTGTAATCATAAGAACACTTTCCTGAGCATAAGCCCCACTGAGTAAACCAATTTAGAATTGCACTGTGAATCTTCTAACACATTCCTTCATTTAAAGAATGAAAATTATGAGAGCAGATTTTACCTACGTATTCAGAGGGTGCTGGAATTGATTTGGAAGGAAATATAGCATTACGGTGTGTCTCGTCATCATTTGAAGGAGGAGGTTCATAATCCCCATCATTTTCATCTCCTATACTGTCTTCATCATTTGGTGTTTCATAGTCTACTCCAGTTTCCTGGTCATCTGGACATTCATAGTCATCACTGTCCTCCTGTCAAAACAGAAGTACAATAGCTTAACAGCAAGGTTGTGTCTTACACCCCTGTTCTTTGCTGAGAACTGTAAAGCTCTTTATACTCCACATGTATCTACATTTTTTGTTTAAATGAACAACCCTCACAGGTTGGGAAAAACAAGAATTAGGATTACAGTTATATGAGACTACAGCCTGCCACCAATTTTCCCAGTCTATTTTAAACAGAGATTTTAATAAGCATACTATTGCATTTAGAACAAGATAAGATTAAAATGACAGCTACTAAGGCCGAATCTGTTATCCCATGTGGTTTAGAACTGCTGAGCCTCTGCTTTCAAGTTAGAATTAGGGGAGCTGTCTTTTTTCAGTTATCTAATTGCAATCTATTGTTCATCACTAGATGGTCCCTGGGTGTTACTGGAGTGTTCTGGGACTGGAATGAGAGGCCCCACAGTGGAATAGTAGCCCCTGGGGTTAGCAGGAGTATTCTGGGACTGGAATAACCAGCTCCAGAGTGGAATGACAGCCCAGGGGGTAGGAGATGTGTCCTGGGACTATAATGATAGGTCTGGCATTCCAGTTCCAGGACTCTTACTCCAAGGGGCTGTCATTCCACTCTGAGGCCTGTTATTCCAGTCCCAGAACACATCTGCTACCCCCAGGGGCTGTCATTCCACTCTGTGGTCTCTCATTCCAGTCGAACACTCCTGCTACCCCTAGGGGCTGTCATTCCACTCCAGAGCCTGCATTCCATTTCCAGAAAGCTTCTGTTACTTCTAGGGTCTGTCATTCTTACCCCTGTGAACTTAAAAATGAGAAACGCCATGACTACAAGGCAGGAATTGCAACTTTTTGAGCCAAATGCAAGCTCTTACTCGAAAAAGCTGCTGACTGTGCATTCCCCATATCCAGTGATTATAAATTTAATAAACAGATAAATTTCAAATAATTTTTTTTGAGGACTGGTACATAGTAATGAGTAAAATCAGCCATGCAGGAATCAAACCAACAACTCATTTATAGGGCAGGAATTTACCCACTGAGCTAAACACAAGGTCTTGTGTTTTACTGTTGTGTGTGCCTCCTACAGCTCGAAGTAAATCCCCCCCCCCGGTGAACTTAAATATCTCCCATAAAGCAGGGGGGGGTCAAGAAAATAAAGGGTTTGAAAGCAGATAGATAAGTTTTGGAAGATAAGATTTGAGGGCTGGTACTATGAGGAAGTAGAGCCAAACGGGAATAAAATTAGAAACGCCATTTCTGGATTTAAACGTTTTGATTTAAATGCAAGCTCTTACTGCACCAGTAGTGAACTTAAAAATGTTCAGTCGGTCTGTAAAAGGGGTCAAGAAATAAAAGCTTTAAAACAAGATAAAAAAATGTAAAAATATTTTGGGGGCTAGCTAATAAAAAGAGAAAAGAGTTACCGCCTAGTTTTTTGTGTACCACCTGTTAGAATTATTTAAGAACTAGGAAAAAGGCCCGTTGTGGAAATAAATACAATGGCCTCTAGAAAGAGGCTCTGGGCGGGTGCCCTGGCCTTGGACACGCAGTGTCAATTTGCTGTGGTGACCTCAGCAGGGTATAATGACACTGAGTCCACCATTTTCTCCAGAGGAACTGATCTCTGCTACCTAAAGAACAGTTGTAATTTTGAGGGATCGCCAGTCCTCACCTGGAGATTGGCAACAATGGTTCCCCAGAAGGGAATAGTTGGTTTGGAGGGTGGAGTATATAGCTTTGTACCTGTTCGAGGTCCCACGCCTCCTGAAACCTCACCCTCCCCAGGCTCCATCCCTCACATCTCCTGGAGTTTTCCACCTGGAGTTGGCAATCCCAGCCAATCATCAACCTACCTATCTTTCCCCCTCACTCTTCAGCTTTCCACCCCCCACACACCTGCAGCCTCTCCCGTGCTCTGAAGCCCTGACTTCTACGTCACATTGGCTGTCACGGGGGCCACCTCAGCAGCATATAAGGATACAGAGCCCACCATTTTCTCCAGGGGAACTGATCTCTGCCGTCTGGAAAGCAGTTGTAATTCTGAGTGATCTCCAGTCCTCACCTGGAGATTAGACACATTTTACCTCAGAAGAGCAAACTGTTTAGAATGTTAGAGGCAAAAGCCAATCAAGTCGCATATGCAAACGACCTCTGTGTTCCGAGGCAAAGGCCAATGTGGCTGCATATGCAAATAACCTCTGTGTTCTGACTGGCTATGGGGGGGAGAGGAACAGCAAAATGTTTAGAATGTTGGAGGCAGGACTCAGGCAAAGCAGCCAGTGGATATGGAGACCCTCTGAATGACAGATCAGAGAGCGAACTGATTTTGGAGTGTGTGGAATGTTCTAGAGAAGTGCCACCACAGAGTTTTATTTATAAGGGAGATTAGTGGAGCAACGGCTCAAAAATGTCTGCATTAGGTTTACAGCGCAACGAAACCAGAAAGGAGGGGTTAGAGCAGCAAAGAACAGCATTCATTTAAACCAGTGCGGAGCGGCTGTGACGATGGAGTCACTATCAGAGGGTGGGAAACATATGCAGACACTAATTTTTATACTGGCGCACTGCCAGCATGAAACCAGATGCAAATGTAGACAATTTGTTGGGGGACAGGAGTGAAAATGTCAGGAAAGTAGCAAGAAACACACATATGGATTCGACCTATGAAGATTGTGCTTGATTCTGTTTACAGGCAACCTACTGAATCTAAATAGCTGTTTATTTTCTCTCGGGCCTTCTTCCATGCAGTCAGGACCAAGGTCAGATGAATATCATTGAAAATCAAGTAAACAGTAATCAGGCAGGTGGAAAACTAGTGGTCTAGGGGCTGAGACAATCATCTCAGGGAGATTTTTTTTTTGGGGGGGAGGTAGCAGCCTCCCATCTTGCTGTCTGTTAGCTGGCCAGCTGCCAACCTGCTACCCACATGACTGCCACCTCTACTTGGGAGCTGGACGAGAGCAATCTCCCAGACCTCATTTTAAAGCAGTACAGGAATCTGCTCAGTGCCCAAACTCTCTTGTGGCAGTTCAGCCTCTGTTTCTCGTTGCCCATTTTCAGGGCAACCAAAATGGTCGTCAACCTCTTACCAAGTGAATTAATCTCAGAAGCTCTACAGGACTGCTTGTAAACAGAGCAGAGACAATGACTATATAAGGAGGGTTATTTCCTCTAGCTCCTAGGTAGGGGAAACAGCTGAATAGGGGAGGTGGAGTGGCAGCAGATATTGCTGGCTCCTCAGGTAAGCCTGCCACAGCTCAAAGGGAGAACTTTGTGGTCTTTCACAGCAAGAAGAAAGGCAGATGTCTTGAACCATTATATTGGTCAGTGATCACAGAATCATAGAGTTGGAAGGGACCTCCAGGGTCATCTAGTCCATTGGCCTTATTCCCAGATGAGGAGGATTATAGGCTGTATTATGAATGCCACAACTGGTATGTCTAAAATTGTATTCCTGGGGACCAGAGTATAATCTGCAGAGTTTTCAAATCAAGCACTGCCTGGTAAATGAGGCTGCACCTCCCACATGGACCCAGTTTAATATCAAGACGGGGTCCCCTAAACTAGTAGGAATTTCCCCAGGATGCTCTCACATAGAAGTAGCCCACCTGCTGGAATTTCCCAAAGAGCACACTCATTAAAGGGTTTTTGTTCTCAACCTCTTGAAGCTCCCTTATACCCAGGAGTAATTGACTCAAATTTGCAGGGATTAAAACCTAAGGATATAGACTTCTCACTATGCAGCATATCCAGTAATTCTATCACTAGCCCAGGGAATGTCATCCAGCCACTGCACAGCCTTTCATTCTGCCACTCCAACTAAATTTTCCTGTTGTGTGTCCATATTTGGACTTACATTTCCACCTGGATGTCTCCTCTTGCACCTTATCCTCCTATTCCTTGAAAAAGAGCATTTCAACCTCCTCCAACGTTGTAGCTGGTTCTGCTCTCAGAACTTCTTCAACTGAAATCACTGGATCCCCTCGCCCAACTTTCTTCCATCTCTGGATCCACAAATTCTGCAGGTTCTGTAGCTGAGCCTCTTCCCACAACTTTGCAGTTGGTTTTCTGGAACTGCTGAATATATGCCTTCTTATATGCCTAGACCTTCATTCCTCATTGGCAACCCAAACTTCACAGGTGATTTCAGTTTCAGATTTTCCTTCTCCAGCCCCAGACCACAGCACACCACTCTCTTCTCTTCAGGACAGGCAGCAAATGATTTTATTTTCTCCCTTAATTTCCCCTTAGACTCCCCACTTGGACCTCTGTTAGTCAACATTGCTATGATTGCATTACTGTATTGCAGCATTATTTTATGCTTTTGATTTCTTTTGCACTTCATTTTTCTAGTTTTGTATCTTGTTCATGGAATAAAGATTTTATTGATATCATCTTTCTCCCTGTCTTATTTTTCTAAGGGCATCACTCTAGAAAGGGATCCATGTAGACAAAGACTGAAACAGTTCCAACATAGTTACCCTGGAACATCTATGTTGTTCTGAACATGTAGTGGATACTCTGACTATGGCCAACCTGACATGGGGACCAATTTGAGTAACAACTGTGGCACCTTCCAGTTTGCTTGGGCTTAAGCCCTTTTGAAATCACTCGGGCTTCTAAATCAAAACTCCTGAAAAGTATTGGAAGTGTGCAGCTATTAGAGAGTTCTTTTCTAAAACACAGGGAAAGAATTCATTTTCTGGTCCTGCATTGGGCAGTGGGTATGGCCCCTTCCAACTATGATTCTATGACTATTTTTCTTTGCTCATTTTGAAATTTAGATCTTTAAAAAAATCAGAGGTATCACCAGCAGTGTATTTAAGTATTTTTAGAGTATTTTACCCCACTTGTCTCCCCAAATGGGGACTACACCCCAGATGGAAAGAGCCCTGCAACATGTAGTACAAAACATCCTTCTAAGTATTTGGGGTGGATAACTGTATTTTCCAGGGTCCCTAGATAGCTTCAGCCTGCCATAGGTCGGGAATGCAGTGCATCTTGAATGCAATAACACAATATATGTGTGTGTCCAATAAAATATATATAAGGGAGGAACGAAGTCCTTGCAGACAGACCTGCAAAGATGCAAAGGTCATCATGTAAGCTGTGGGAGAAGAAAAGGAGGTAGCTGCTAGACAATGATATTACTGGGGTGAATTTGTAATGAGCTGAGCCTAAATTTTAGTGATGTTTGAGATTTGCACATCTTAAGCGAAATGCTGGCCTGGATGAATCACAAGCCGGAATTAAGATTGCTGGGGAAAAGATCAACAACCTCAGATATGCAGACGATACCACTCTGATGGCAGAAAGTGAAGAGGACCTTAAGAGCCTCTTGCCCAGTGTAAAAGAGGAGAGCGCAAAAGTGGGCTTGAAGCTCAACATCAAAAAAACTAAGATCATGGCATCCGGCCCCATCACTCCTTGGCAAATAGAAGGGGAAGTCGTGGAAGTGGTGACAGACTTCACGTTCCTGGGATCCCAGATCACCGCAGACTGTGACAGCAGCCATGAAATTAAAAGACGCCTGCTCCTTGGGAGGAAAGCGATGGCGAACCTAAACAGCATGATAAAAAGTAGAGACATCACCCTGCCAACAAAAGTCCGCATGGTCAAAGCAATGGTATTCCCAGTAGTCATGTATGGCTGCGAGAGTTGGACTATAAGGAAGGCCGAGCGCCGAAGAATATATTCTTTTGAACTATGGTGCTGGAGAAGACTCTTGAGAGTCCCTTGGACTGCAAGAAGATCAAATCAGTCAATCCTAAAAGAAATCAACCCTGACTGTTCCCTGGAAGACCAGATAATGAAACTGAAGCTCAAATACTTTGGCCCCATATGAGAAGGGAGCACTCACTAGAGAAGACCCTGATGCTGGGAAAGATTGAAGGTCAAAGAAGACGGGGATGGCAAAGGATGAGATGGTTGGACAGTGTCATCGACACAACGAACATGAAATTGAGCCAACTTCAGAGGACAGCGGAAGACAGGAGGGCCTGGCGGGAGCTGGTCCATGGGGTCGCGAAGAGTCGGACTCGACTGTGCGACTGAACAACAACAACAAAGTTTTTTCCTCCCCGTTCACGATTATTTTATCTCCCTATTTCAAACTTCAACATTGTCATGAGTCATAATTGCCTTACTGGTTTCAATGGAAACCAAGCATGACAAACTTTCTCTGGACAAGGATAAGCTGAGCTAGTTGGCTAGATTTTAAAGATGTACTTGGGGCTAAGAATTTTCAGTTGCTTTTACAAATACTTGCCAAATCAGGAATATCAGTCATAAAAGGTATAACTTTTCTGTCCCTAAGACTAAGGCAAGCTGTAAATAATATGTTTTCAAGAAGTGAGGAATCCCTGCCACTTTATAATTTTGGCATTCAAAAAACTGACCCCTGTGAAGATACAGTTCTTTGAAGACAAAAATTATAAGGTAACAGATCCCTTACCTCTTGATATCACATGATGACTCCCCATGGTTTGTACATTTAACATTTTCTTCACCTTTACAAGAAGGTGATCTAAAAATTTCTTTTCACATCAAATAAGATGGGCAAAAGAGTAGCATTTTCCCTTATTACTATAATGTAGAAAATAAGTCTTTTTTCGCCTTCAGAATTTTTCTGTCAGAGTCTGAAGATGAATGTGAAATGACATCTTATTTGATGAGAGGGATTTTTCCATTAAAATTGTGCAAAGAAAACTGATTGGTAAAGTTTTTCCTTTTCATCCCTTGCAATGGTTCGAAATCACTCACTGCTCTATAGAAGGTATCCTGATGACCAGGCTTGCATGATACCAGCTTCAACTGGTTAGCCAGCAATGGCCTTTTCTGGGCAGAAAAGATCTGGCTACTGTGGCGCATGCCCTGGTTACATCTAGATTAGATTTCTACAATGCATTGAACATGGAGCTGTCCTTGAAAAGTATTTGGAACCTTCAATTTGTATAAAATGCTGCAACCAGCGGGCTGACTGGAGTGGGTTATAGGAACCATATCATTCTGTTTTTGGTCCATCTACACTGTTCCGTAATTTCTTTCCAGGCCTAATTCAAAGTGTTGGCAGTGGCACTGAGCTTTAAAGCTCTATATGCTTTGGGACGAGCACACATTAACAACCACCGACTCCCAAGTACCTACCTGATCACTACAGTCATCTTCTGAAACCCTCCTTCGGGTGTCCCCACTGTCTGAGGTTAGACGAGTGGCAATCTGAGAGAGTGTCTTCTCAATCAGGGAACCAAAATTGTGTAACTCCTTCCCCAAGGATATTCACCTGTACTTTTTTTCATCGTTTTATGCCAGTGGGTGAAGACTTTTTTGTTTTATCTGGCATTTCCTCAATAAACCCTCCTTCTTGCCCTGTGTTTTAATTGCTGGTCCTGTGTTTTTATATATTTATTTTATTTTTGGTTTATATTAGTATTATGATTGTTTTATAATATTCTGTTTTTAACTGTTCACCTCCTGGGTGACCCCAATTGGGCATAAAGCCAGAATATAAATTCTGTAAATGAGACAAAGCAAAAGAGAAGACTGTTGAGCTCCATTCTGATACTTGTGTCTAATTCCAGATATGTACCAGTATTAGTCTGTAGCAAGAGTCCCATGGCACCTTGGAGACTTATAAAAAAATTTGTGAGTCAGAACTTAAGATCTGATTACTCATGAAAACTTATACTGGAATACATTTTGTGCCATGGTGCTATCGAACTGCTCCTTTATTCTGCTCTTTCTAACTAATGCTGATAAAATAAGGTCCGACAAAGACTCTGCACCAGTGGAAGCCAAGAAACTTTAAACTTAGCTTCTCATGATATCTCCAGAGATTTTCTCCTACTGCAGCCCTGAAATGCTTGGGAGACAAGGGGCACTCAAGAACAGTATATACCAGGGGAAGAAGTGGGAGTCTGTAGTGGGAGGGGAAACTGGTGAAAACTGCCTTCTTCCTCCACCACTGGCAAACAACCTTTACATTCAACCCAAAGCATTTTAACTTTTAGGATAATCTTGAAGAATAAGGGGTTTTATTTTGTCTTTTTTGAAATAGTTCAAAATGACCAACAATGGATTTTTCATGTGCATAGGAGTATTGTAGTAGTAGTAGTAGTAGTAGTAACAAACTTTGTCATAATTTCTGTCCCTTCAATTGTATAACTATGTTTTTAAGACATACTTACAAAAGAAGACCAGCTATCACCTTCTTCTTGTCCAAACTCTGTAAAAAGGCAACAAAAAGGACTTCTTAATAGCTATACATTTTCAAGTGTACCAATTTGCCACTGTTAGCTGCTAATGTCCTGTAAGGAGAATTGTGGTGAGCATACTGGAGCTAGGGCTTATATTTCACATGTAAATGTATATTACTTGATAACTCAGAATAATTTAATGACAGTCAATTGTTCACAGCTGGATGATTGAATGGGCATTGTATCTGAGGGGATGAGAGGTGATATGAAAGCTCTGTTGATGTTTAATTGGTGGTGGCAGTGCACACATATATCAAATTTCAAGTGATGGACAGACTTGTTTGAATATATTCTTATCTAAAGCAGAGGCATGAACTAAGAAACTAGTTAGAGATAATTTATGAAAACAGTTCCAGCTAAGTTAAGTACCAATAGACTGATGCATTACAAGAGGGTCAACATTTTATCCTAACTGTGGGAAGTGATTAGTGAGAGCAGGTTCATTGGATTCACAATGTAAGAGGATTTTTAGACACACAAATATATGAGTTTCAGGTAACAAATACAGACTAGACTTCTTTCTGTCATGAAAGATACTAATTCAGTCTAAACAATGGGATTTTCCTGTTCATGCTGGGATTAGAGGCTTGAATTAATGCTGGATGATTATTCAATAAATGTATGCTTAGGAAATCCTGGTACTACAGATTTTGTGACCTGGTTATCTTATGTAGTTAGTTTTATTTTATTTTTTAGTAACATGTGTTGTGCCTATAGATAACTTGAATACAGTGGACTCTCTGAAATTTCCCCTACTTGGGAATCTAAATCTAAACGTTTGATTGTTGTAGCTCTAGTACACATTATATATGTAACCATGATAATGTATGTACTGAAAAATCATATAATATCCAGTGTTAAAAAACCCATTGTATAAACACTGGACATGCAAAATTCAAGGAGACAGCTTTAACTAAGCAGAAGTTTTACAAAGGCTGTATCCCCTCTTTGAGCAGCCTTATTTGCGTGCAAGTATTCCCCCAAAATTTGCAAAAGTGCAAACATTCATACACAGCCACATCACCATGGATCACAGGTTTTTTTTCTCCTGATACATTGTAGGTTCTGGTTTAGGAAGTACTGTCAGGCTACGGATCACTTCCCCCCTTTTCAGCCCACACACATTTAAACAGTCATTCCTTCCTGCTGATAATATTTCTCTGAATAAAACCTGAACTTGGCCAGAATAGGGGCCACAAATATGTTCATAAATAGAAAGTTCTTTTACCTGTATTTTGAGGAACCTTCTGTGTACATGTACTGTAGTAACATTAGGGAGAAAATGAGAGCAATTAACATTTTCACTCCTTCATTATAAACTAAAAATATTGAAGGTATAACAATACCTAGTTAAAAAAAACAATTATGCATTTCATTTGATCTCCAACCCATTGCATCAAAATGAGCAAAAATGTGATGCTTGCTATTTTGACATAAACAATCCTTTCAGGGTACTGAACACCCAGAACAACAAACTTGACTGAATTCTGATGAAGAATTAAGAGGCTTGGAACTGTGGCTGAATTGTTTGCTGAACCCTACTAACAAGTCAGTTGATCTTTGCCCCATTTTATGATGTTTTGTGGTTTTACACTGCTTTGAGGTTTTGAAGAAGTGACATAATATTTCTAAATTAAAGAAATATGCATTTGGCAGCTCATGAAGATAGATTATTGAGCAGAACTGTGCAACGTAGGTGCTTCACAAACAGTATTTTATGCATCGAGACCTGGGATCCATCTACTCAATAATATACACATGAATTACATGACTTCAAAACAGTAAAATGAGGGCTATAATCTTATGCACACTTATTTGGTTGTAAGGCCCATTGAATATATACAGACTAGCTTCTGAGTAAAAATGCACAGAATTGTATTGTATGATGTCTAAGGAACAATACTATTAGTCTTGTCAATTACTACTAATCACATAACATAGCTTGGCTGCACATATACCATTCTTGTGGCTGTAGACTAAAAGGATATGATGCCAGTTCCCTTTTCACAATTGTGTGCAGAATAGATTCTGTTCCCCATGAAATATCCAAAAGCTTGGAAAATATAGCAGAGATGTGGTTGCCTTTCAAAAATCCCAGCAGTTTCATCTATATCCCAAGTGACTGGAGTTAAACCAGTCTATCCCCACTGAAGCAAATGAAACAAACATCTGGATTTATTGAAATTAATTAAATAACTTCCTTTCCCTTCCAATGGGGACCCAAAGTGGCTTACATCATTCTCCCTTTCTCTGTTTTATTCTCAGAACAATCATGTGAAGGTAGGCTGACACTGTGCGATTGACCCAAAGTCACCTAGCAAGCTTGTACTGCAGAATGGGGATTTGAACTTCAGTCTTCCGGATCCTAGTCTGATGTTCTAAACAATACACCATGCCGGTTCTCACATACTTCACACAGTACATTCACAGATGCCATGTAAGTCTAAATTTCCTTTCTACTAATTGGCTGATATGCCATTCTCTAGGGATAATCTTTTCTAATTATTATTGGTCATTGATTAAAACGTATGCTGTAACATCACCACTGTATGAGATTCCATTCCAGTTCACCGCATGCTGTAAGAGGGATCTGTCAAGGATGGGCAAGTGGGTGTCAACGTGGCAAATGGGGTTCAATGTGGCCAAGTGCAAAGTGATGCACATTGGAGCCAAAAATCCTAATTATAAATACATGTTGATGGGGTCCGAACAGGCAGAGACTGGCCAAGAGAGAGATCTTGGAGTCATAGTAGATAACTCTCTGAAAATGTTGAGACAGTGTGTGACTGAAATAAAACAGGCCAGTGCTATGCTGGGATTAGGAAGGGTATTGAAAACAGATCAGCCAATATCATAATGCCCCTTTATAAATCAATGGTGCAACTGTCAGAATATGAATATAGAGGTACAGGTGCAGAGATAATGTTTACATGTATAAAGTTAGATTGCGCCTGCAAACTACTTGAGGATTCAAGCTTGATAGATGTGGGCGTGTACTGAGAGGCTCTGTCAGTCTCATCTGTGTGAGGCAGCCTGAACTCTGATTGGCTGTCGCGACTGTCTTGGTCATACACAGAGATTCTAAGAGTGACAGTTATTCAGTTACTCTCTGTCAGTTGGTCTGTCTGTGAGCACAACTGTTGTTAGCTCTATTTTAATCTGTTATTATATACAAAGTTATTGTTTAATCATTCACCAGTTAATAGTTATATAAACACCATTTGACTTAACCGTATTTGGTGTGTTTATTTTGAGTCTTCCACGAAACTCTTTAACAATAGGTATATACCACATACCTTCAACAGCAACCTCATTTGGAATAGTGTGTACAGTTCTGGTCACCACACCTTAAAAAGGATATTATAGCACTGGAAAAAGTGCAGAAAAGGGCAACTAGAATGATAAAAGGGTTGGAACACTTTCCTTATGAAGAAAGGTTAAAGCGCTTGGGGCACTTTAGCTTGGAGAAACGACGACTGAGGGTTGACATGATCGAGGTTTATAAGAGTATGCATGGGATAGAGCAGGTAGGGAAA